CCTGACTCCTGGCTTCAATCTGGCCCATACCTGGTTCTTGCAGCTGTCGGTGCAGTGAACCAGTTGATGGAACATATCTGAGAGATGTGTATGTCTCCATGACTTTGCCTTTTCTTTTTCTTTTTCTTTTTTTTTCTTTTTTTTTTTTGACAGAGTGGACAGTGAGAGACAGAGACAGAGAGAAAGGTCTTCCTTTGCCATCGGTTCACCCTCCAATGGCCACTGTGGCCAGTGCGCTGCAGCCGGCGCACCGCGCTGATCCGAAGGCAGGAGCCAGGTGCTTCTCCTGGTCTCCCATGGGGTGCAGGGCCCAAGCACTTGGGCCATCCTCCACTGCACTCCCTGGCCACAGCAGAGAGCTGGCCTGGAAGAGGGGCAACCGGGACAGAATCCGGCACCCCAACCAGGACTAGAACCCGGTGTGCCGAGGCCGCTAGGCGGAGGATTAGCCTGTTGAGCCACAGTGCTGGCCTGACTTTGCCTTTTCAATAAATCAATTGAATAGATTTTTTTTAACACAGGAAAAGGACCCTTTAAGAGCCATTTCTATTTCTTTTTCTGTGTACCTTCTTCTCATTGTTGTTCATTTCCCTATTTTTTGATTGATTAATTGAAAGATGCTTCTGGGGGCAGTGCTATGACATAGTGGGTAAAGCCGCCGCCTGCAGTGCCAGCATCCCATATAGCTACCGGTTCAAGTCCTGGCAGCTCCAGTTCTGATCCAGCTCTCTGCTAGGGCTGGGGAAAGCAGTGGAAGATGGCCCAAATCCTTGGGCCTCTGAACCCATGTGGGAGACCCGGAAGAAGCCCCTGGCTCCTGGCTTCAGATTGTCCCAGATCTGACCATTCTGGCCATTTGGGGAGTGAATCAGCAGATGAAAGACATCTCTCTCTCTCTCTCTTTCTCTCTCTCAATCTGTGCCTCTCTGTAACACAGCCTTTCAAATAAATTTTTTAAAAGATTCTTCCTATATATTTGAAACTCAGCCTTTTATTTGTAAAATGTAAATATTTCCTCAGTTTATTATTTACCTTTTAGGTTTTTTTTATTGTGGCATTTACCATATAGACTTTTATGGAGTTGAATTTTTATTGTATGGCTTTTGGGCTCTTACTCAAAACATATTTTTTTAAAGATTTATTTATTTGAAAGGCAGATTTACAGAGAGGCACATGCAGAGGGAGAGGTCTTCCATCTGCTGGTTCACTCCCCAGATGGCCGCAGCAGCCAGATCTGCACCAATCTGAAGCCAGGAGCTTCTTCTGGGTCTCCCACTAGGGTGCAGGAGCCCAAGGACTTGGGCCATCTTTCACTGCTTTCCCAGGCCACAGCAGAGAGCTGGATTGGAAGTGGAGCAGCCGGGACTCAAACCAGCAGCCATATGGGATGCCAGCACTGCAGGCTGCAGCTTTACGTGCTACATCATAGCACCGGCCCCCTCAAAAAATATTTTTTAAAAAGACTCTCCTATGAGGTACCTTTCTCTGAAGGGAGGAGAGAACTTCCACTTTGATTATGGCCCTTCTAGATAATGACAGAGTTTGTGAACTCAAGAGACTTTCATAGCCTTGGCAGCTCATGACAAGAGCCTCAGGTGATCACTGACGTCATAAACAACAATGGGAGTCACTGTACACTTGCTCCCCATGTAGGATCTCTGTGCTTAATGTGTTGTACTATGCGAATTAATGGTAAAACTACTACTCAAACAGTACTTTATACTTTGTGTATCTGTGTGGGTGCAAACCGTTGAAATCTTTACTTAGTATATACCAAGTTGATCTTCTGTATATAAAGATAATTAAAAATCAATCTTGATGAAGAATGGTATGGGAGAAGGGGTGGGAGATGGGATGATTGCAAGTGGGAGAGAGGTTATGGGGGGGGAAAGCCACTATAATCCAAAAGTTGTACTTTCCAATTTAATTTACATTTTTTAAATAAAAGTTTAAGAGAAGACTCTCCTATGGATTCTGTGGGTGCTTTAATAATTTGGGTTTTGTGTGTGTTTCAACGTCTGATTCATTTGGAATTTATTTGGATGTAAATGTAAGGTATGAAAATAACTTTACTTTTTCCCAGTCAACGTTAAGGTTTATAAACACCATTTATTAAACAATTTAAAAAATTAAAAATTAAACAAAAAAACTTAAACTTAAGTTGAAAATTCAACTTAAACAGTTGAAAAATTAAAACTTTTCCTTTTGATTTGGAATGGCATTTTGTACATTCTATTTGCATTGAAGTCTAAATCTAGAGTTTCCATTGTCCATCATTATTTGAGGGTTACTATCTTCCAGCAGTTTCCAGTGCTACATTGTATTAACTGTTACACTTCAAGATGTGTTTTAATATCTGATAGTACTGGGCCTGGCGCTGTGGCTCACTTGGCTAATCCTCCACCTGCAGTGCGGTATCCCATATGGGCACTGGGTTCTAGTCCCGGTTGCTCCTCTTCCAGTCCAGCTCTCTGCTGTGGCCCAGGAGGGCAGTGGAGGATGGCCCAAGTGCTTGGGCCCTGCACCCGCATGCAAGACCAGAAGGGAGCACCTGGTTCCTGGCTTCGGATCAGCGCAGTGCCAGCCATAGCGGCCACTTGGGGGGTGAACCAACGGAAGGAAGACCTTTCTCTCTCTCTCTCTCTCTCTCTCTCTCTCACTGTCTGTAACCCTGTCAAATAAATAAATAAAAAATCTTTAAAAAAAAATATCTGATAGTTCTAGCCATCTTCATTTGGCTCTCATGTCAATTGTATTATATTTTTTTTTAAGAATTTGTCTCTGCCAGGCACTCTGGTGTAAAAGGTTAAGTTCTGCTTGCAATACCGGTATCTCATATGGGTGCGGGTTCTAGTCCAAGCTGTTCCACTTCTGACCCAGCTCCCTGCTAATACTCCTGAGAAAACAGTACTTGGCCCCTTTGCTCACTTGGGAGACCTGGAAGAAGCAGCTCCTGGCTCCTGCCTTCAGCCTGGCCCAGCCCTGGACATTGCAGCCATTTGGGGAGTGAACCAGCAGAAGAAAGATCCCTCTCTCTGTCTCTGTCTCTCTCTCCCTCTCCCTCCTTCTCCCTGTCTCTCTCTCTGCCTCTCTCTCTCCCTCCCTCTCTCTCCCTCCCTCTCTGTCTCTCTCTTTCTCCATCTCTGTCTCCCTCTCTCTCTCCCTGTCTCCTCTCCCTCTCTCCCTGTCTCCTCTCTCTCTCTTCCTGTCTCCCCCTCTCCCCCCTCCTCCCTCTCTCCTCTTCTTTTCTCTGTATATGAATGTTTTTAAAATACAAGATTTATTTATTTTACTTGAAAGTCACAGTTACACAGAGAGAGGAGAAGCAGAGAGAGAGAGAGAAAACAGAGAACTGGATCGGAAGTGGAGCAGCCGAGTATCAAACCAGCGCCCATATGGAATACAGCACTGCAGTTGGCAGCTTTACCCGCTCCACCACAGCGCCGGCCCCTCTGTATATGTCTTTCAAATAAATAAATCTTTTTTTAAAAAAAGAATTTTTCTGGTTTTGTTTGCTGGTTTGGGTATATTCATATTGCCCTAAAACTTAGTGGCTTAAAAATTTCTTACTTCTCATGATTTTGTTGGTTAACCAGACTCATCTGGAATATTCTCACTTGAAGTGTTTCATAGTATTGCAGTCAGCTGAAGACTTTCTTCTTCATATGCCTGATACCTGAGTTAGGATGGCTAGACAGCTTGGGGTCTAGCCAAGCATTTCAATCTCTACAGAGCCTCTCCAAACAGCTAACTCGGCCTTCCTCACAGCATGGCAGGATGAGGGTAGTCAGACTTCCACAAAGCTGTTAAGGTCCCACACTCCACCCCCACACCCAGGCATTCCAAGAGGTCCATAGAGAAAGGCTCATGGTTCTCATGACCTAGTCCCAGATATCATACAATAGCCATTCTGCCATGATAAATTGATCAAAATGATCAATGGATTGAAAGAGAGGGACTCATGCAAAAGGATGAATAACAGACCACTTTTTACCCACTATGCCACAGCAATGTTCCCTGGACCACTTTTTTTTTTAAAGATTTATTTACTTATTTATTCAAAAGTCAGAGTTACACAGAGAGAGGAGAGGCAGAGAGAGAGAGAGAGAGAGAGAGGTCTTCCTTCCGTTGGTTCACTCCCCAATTGGCCGCAATGGCTGGAGCTGCGCTGATCCGAAGCCAGGAGCCGGGAGCCTTCTCTGGGTCTCCCACACAAGTGCAGGGGCCCAAGGACTTAGGGCATCCTTCACTTCCTCCCCAGGCCACAGCAGAGAGCTGGATCAGAAGTGGAGCAGCTGGGTCTCAAACCTGCACCCATATGGGATGCCAGCACCCCAAGCCACAGCATCAACCCACTGCGCCACAGCGCCGGCCCCCTGGACCACTTTTTAAAAATAGGCACCATATTTAAGGAGCATGACAAAGTAAATATTTTAAAAAATTTATTGATCTGGGGGCTGGCACTGTGGCTCACTTAGTTAATCCTCTGCCTGCGGCACCGGCATCCCATATGGGCGCCGGCTTCTAGTCCCGGTTACTCCTCTTCCAGTCCAGCTCTCTGCTGTGGCCCAGGAGGGCAGTGGAAGATGGCCCAAGTGCTTGGGCACCTGCACCTGTGTGGAAGACCAGGAGGAAGCACCTTGCTCCTGACTTTGGATCAGTGCAGCGCCAGCTGTGGCAGCCATTTGGGGAGTGAACCAATGGAAGGAAGGCCTTTCTCTCTCTCTCTCTCTCTCTCTCTGGCTCTGTCAAACTAAAAAAAAAAATTGTATTGATCTGACTTATGTCTGTAGATAACTTCTAAGCAAAGAAATTTTTTCACATGAAACTCAAGATCAACATCTATCCACAAGTGTTAAGAAATAACTTCTGTGACTTAAAAGAGAAAATTGGGCAACAGAAGGTATTAATGCCACATCTAAAATAATAGTTGAGTCCAGCTGCTGTAACAAAATAGCATAAACTGAGAGAATTATAAACAATTCCATCCTTTCCTCCAGTTTCCAATAGCACATTCCTCACTTCTACCTGGACCTCATCAGAATGGCCTTACCAACCAAACATCTACCACCATTCTGTTCACAGAAAATATGCCCTGAGTGATCTCTGAGAAGACTGAGGCTCTGTGGTCCTCTTTGCCTCTGGGCCATTACGAGCAAGGTAGGCTCCTAACCCTCCCAGCCCCAACCCGTGACCCAGTTCCAAAGCTGCTTCCACACTGTTAGGTATTTGCTACAGCAGCAACCTACTGCTTGGTGCCAATTTTCTGTTTTGTCTGTTTTGACTCTTATAACAAAAGACCATAATTGGGTTGCTTGTGAACAACAGAAATTTCTTTCTCCTGGACCTAGAGGCTGGGAAGTTCAAGATCAGGGCACCAGCAGGTCTGGTTCCTTGCCAGCATCTGTTTGTTCTGTTGTCACGTGGTGGAAGGGACTAGGGAGCTTTCTGAAGCCTCTTTTATAAAGACACTAATCCCATATTTGAAGGCTGTGCTCTCATGACCTAAATACCTCCCAAAGGTGTCGCCCCCTAATACTGTCACTTTGGGCATTAGGATTTCAATGTGTTATTTTGGGGGAGGACACAAGCTTTCAGTCTATAGTAGACACCAACATTTTATGATTCACAGCGTGTTTTCCTCAACGTCATTGCTCCTCATTTGCACACTATGCAGTTTTACTATTCTGCTCTCACAGATGATGAAACTGAGGCTCAGAGGGGTCCTGATTTTGCTCGAGGCTCCATAGTTACTCTGCCTCTTGAGTCCATCTCGCCAGCAGCAGAGAGACTCTAGCATCTACAGAGCTGAAAATCAATTAGCTCAGTTGTACTTTTTGGAAAGAAATATACTTTCTTTGAATGTTAAGTATACAGAATATTATTTCCATAAATTGTTTTCTCTTTTTTAATGAAACTTGTATTGTCTTCTACCCTTGATTTCATATTTTTTTAAAATATTTATTTGGGATCACATAAACAAGACTAGTGTCTGCTAATAATAACTGATAGAATTAAAAAGGAGAAAATGACCCAACATGGGAAGCAAGATACACAGCAGACTCATAGAATGGCAGATGTCCTAAACAGCACTCTGGCCTCAGAATCAGCTCTTAAGGCATTCAGATCTGGCTAAAAAACCCATGAGAGTTTCGCAGGCATGGAAAGCCAAGACATTGTGGAAAAAAAAAAAAAAAAAGCCTAAATGAAAGATCTCTGGGAGTGAGATCCCAACGGAAAGAATGGGCCATCAAGGAAGGAGGTACCTTTCTCTGAAGGGAGAACTTCCACTTTGACTATGGCCTTGTCTAACAAGGTCAGAGTTGTGAACTCAAGAGGCTTCCATAGCTTTGGCAGCGCAAGACAAGAGCCTCAGATGATTACTGACTTCATAAATAAGAGTGTTAATTGTTAAATCAACAATGGGGGTCACTGTGCACCTACTCCCCATGTAGGATCTTGTCCTTAATGTGTTGTACTACACAAATTAATGGTAAAACTACTACTCAGACATTACTCTATACTTTGTTTGTCTGTGTGGGTGCAGTGTGTTGAAACCTTTACTTACTATATACCAAGTTGATCTTCTGTATATAAAGATAATTAAAAATCAATCTTGATGAATGGTATGGGAGAGGGAGTAGGAGATGGGATGGTTGCAGGTGGGAGGGAGGTTATGGGGGGGAAAAGCCACTGTAATCCAAAATTTGTACTTTGGAAATTTATATTTATTAAATAAAATTTGAAAAAAAATTATTTGAATGAGAGAGTAAGAGTGAGGGGGTAGAGGGGAGGGGTGGGAGAGAGGGATATTCCCTCTGCTGGTTCACTCCCCAAATGGCCACAACCACGGGGGCTGGTCCAGGCCAAAGCCAGGAGCCCAAAGCTCCATTCTAGTTTCCCACAGGGATGGTAGGGCCTAAGTCCTTGGGCCATTTTCCACTGCCCTCCCAGGCATATTAGCAGGGAACTGGATCACAACTGGAGCAATCAGGACTTATGATACTGTTGTTGTAGGCAGCAGCTTAGCTAGCTGCACCACAACACTGGCCCTGGTTCCTTGCTGTTGATAAAGACAGAGTTGTAAGAAATGGTTCATTTTCTTAAGTCTATTCTAAGAAAACACCTCACAAATATGATAAATTGTAAATGAAGATCTTTGCATTAGGAGTCAAAAGGCAAGTAGAGAGAGTGTTGTAAATTGCTAGAAATATCCCCGTCTGGTGCAATCTGCTTTGCTCCTCCAGCACACAGTTGTCATATGGGATTGTGGGCAGAATTCTACAACTTTGAGGTCAGATGGGACATACCTCTGCTCATAGGAAACAAAAGACCAAGGATAGAGTCAGCAGACACACTAATGTGAGGAATTACATTCATGAACAATACACAATAGAAAAATTTGACAGGAAGTTGAAAACAAATGCTTCAGTTGACACAGAGAGAGATCAAGGAAGACAATCTATAACAAGCCGGGAATAGTTTGAGAAAAAAAGCAGATTTTAAAAGTGGTCAATTGGAATAGATTGAATTAAGATATACTGATTTGTGGTGAAAGAGACTGAACTGTATTGACTATTTTTTAACTTTTATTTAATAAATATAAATTTCCAAAGTACAGCTTTTGGATTACAGTGCCCCCCCACAACTTCCTTCCCACCCGCAACTCTCCCATCTCCCGCTTCCTCTCCCATCAAGATTCATTTTCAATTATCTTTATATACAGAAGATCAATTTAGTATGTATTAAGTAAAGATTTCAACAGTTTGCACCCACACAGAAACACAAAGTATAAAGTACTGTTTGAGTACTAGTTTTACCATTAATTCACATTGTACAACACATTAAGGAATGAGATCCTACATGGGGAGTAAGTGCACAGTATCTCCTGTTGTTGATTTAACAAATGACACTCTTGTTTATGGTGTCATTACTCACTCGAGGCTCTTCTCATAAGTTGCCAAGGCTATGGAAGCCTTTTGAGTTCGCCAACTCCAATCTTATTTAGACAAGATCATAGTCAAAGTGGAAGTTCTCTCCTCCCTTCAGAGAATGGTACCTCCTTCTTTGAAGGCCCATTCTTTCCAATAGGATCTCGCTCACAGAGATCTTTCATTAAGATGTTTTATACTATTTCTAAATATCCCAGAGTGTCTTGGCTTTCCATGCCTAAAATACTCTCATGGGCTCTTCAGCCAGATCCGAATGCCTTAAGGGCTGATTGTGAGGCCAGAGTGCTGTTTAGGACATCTGCCATACTATGTGTCTGCTGTGTATCCCGCTTCCCATGTTGGATCGTTCTCTCCCTTTTTTATTCTTTCGGTTAGTATTAGCAGACATTAGTCTTGTTTGTGATCCCTTTGACTCTTAGACCTATCAGTGTGATCAATTGTAAACTGAAACTGACCACTTTAACTAGTGAGATGGAATTGGTACATGCCACCTTGATGGGATTGTATTGGAATCCCCTGGCACGATTCTAACTCCACCATTTGGGGCAAGTCTGATTGAGCATGTCCCAAATTGTACATCTCCTCCCTCTCTTAGTCCCACTCTTAAATTTAACAGGGATCACTTTTCAGTTAAATTTAAACACCTAAGAATAATTGTGTGTTAATTACAGAGCTCAACCAATAGTATTAAGTAGAACAAAAAAAATACTAGAAGAGATAAAGTGTTAAGTTGAATTGTATTGACTTTTAAGCTGTGCACTTACTATAACTTTGCTGTAGGTGTTGCCTAAGAATAGAGAAAAATTGAAGGAAATAAATTTTCCAATGAGAATGGTTCAAATTATTCTAAGTTTATCTTGAAAATATGATTTTCTAAAAAAATTAAACTTTTTGTCTCAACTTCAACAATTTGTCTTGCAGGGATTTATACTAAAAGAAAAGGAGCATTGTGTTGTCTGAGTAAACACCTATGCTTATTAAAAGGTGAGAAAAGCATCGTGTAGGAACAGATCAACACAAAGGAAAGGTGTCTCTACAGGCAATGTAAGCAATAATGGATCTGGACAGACAATATGGAGTCATACTTATCATGCCTGAGAGTGAATGTGGGTAGAGTGGATTTATAGTATGTAAAGAATAAGTAACAGAAAGAAAGATAGTGACATAGTGCAGCATTCTTTAGAAATGGGTTCCCCGAGGCTCTGATCCCATATATGGGGTAGCACCTGCTCTCAAGCTGCAAGCTGACACTGCTGCTCCAAAAAACACACTTTGAGAAGCACTGCCCCAGGTCTGTGTTGTCACTTGGTAGCTGCCAGGAACATGTGGCTATTTAAATGAAATTATGCGAAGTAAGATTTCAAAAGAAGATTCTCTGTCACATCAGATTTCACACCGCATTTCAAGTGCTCAGTAACTACAGATCCAAAACATTTCTATCATGACTGAAAGCTTGGTTGCACAGGGCTGCCCTAGACTGTCTAGATTGACCTGGATACACTGGCTGTTGGCAAAGTTCCTCCTCTGCACTCTCTCCCTGTCCTGCATTTGCCCACAGTCTTGTCCAGAGATGAGCCAGCTATGTTTGGTTTAGGCGTAGAGTATAGAATTCACTAGGACAGTTATCTCAACCTCTCCACTCCCTTTACCATCTCAGGACTTCTCCCCTCCTGCCCAAGAAGTTTGCCTGCCCTGCTTGTTCTTCCCCTGCTCCTGAAATAATCCACGTGTCTTTCTGAAGTCCTTTAAAAACACGGTCAGTGCCTACTACGGAACTAGGTTGACCTCCGCGGAGCAGTCTTCCCTGGCTCCACAATGCTCCTCTCTTAGGCTGACCAGTTTGCCTGCTGGTCCTAACTCTCCCTGGCCAATCCGTGCTGCCCTCCCCATTGCCCCATCCATTCATAACTTTTCCCACCCAACCCCTGCCCCTGGCCAAGAGGCTGGGGCTTTTGTGGCCCTAGGCTGTATTGTATGAATGTATGATTGTGTGTTACTGGGGTCAGCAATGTGGTGTAGTAGGCTAAGCCTCCACCTGCAGCCCTGGCATCCCATATGAGTGCAGGTTCTAGTCCTGGCTGCTCCTCTTCTAATCCAGCTCTCAGCTGTGGCCTGGGAAAGCAGTGGAAGATGACCCAAGTGCCTGGGCCCCTGCACTTGCATGGGAGACTCAAAAGAAGCTCCTGGCTTACAATCAGTCCAGCTCGAGTTGTTGTAGCCATGTGAAGAGTGAACCGCAGATAGATGACCCCTCTATCTGTCTGTAACTCTCCCTCTCAAAATAAATAAAATCATAAAAAAGAAAAGAAAATGCATGAATGTTTTATCCAGAGATAGTTTTATCCTGTCCTTTTGGAGGGTGTGTGTGTTTTACATTGCTGTGATCACACTACATTCTCTATTGTGCAATTTGTGGGTTTTTTACCACAGTATTTGTGGTTATTACAGACTTTTGCAAAGATACTTTATATTACTGGTGATATTATGTGATTTTACTGCAATTTACATAACATTCTTTCTTCCCCCGCCTGTCCCCCACAAAGAAACCTTTTATTTAAGGAACAGAAACTTTGTGGATTTTATAAGTACAACTTTAGGAATATAGTGATTCTTCCCACTATACATAACCTTCTTTCAATCATTGGAAATTTGGGTTGTTCCCAAATTATCAGCATTATAAGTAATGGTGTGATGTTGAACTTCTGAATAAAACATTTCTACGTATTTGAAATCTTGCCCTTTCATTAGTCTCTCAGTTCCAAGTTTGTCAAAAGGATCGTCATTTTGATCTTTACTTCACTCTGTTGCTACCTTAGGGTAGTAAAGCTAAAAAACAAAGTACCAAGCATACAAATAAAAACCTAAAACAAAAAAACAACCCTATAATAATAGCAGAAAATGATAACCTGTTTTAACTTCTAATTCTTTTTTTTAAATATTTATTTATTTATTTGAAAGGCAGAGTTACAGAGAAGCAGAGGCAGAGAGAGAGAGAAGTCTTCCATCTACTGGTTCACCCTCTAGATGGCCACAATGGCTGGAGCTGTACCAATCCAAAGCCAGGGGACTCCCCTGGGTCTCCCATGCAGGTATAGGGGCCTAAGGACTTAAGCCATCCTCTACTGCCTTCCCAGGCTGTAGCAAAGAGGTAGATTGGAAGTGGAGCAGCCAGGACTCAAATCGGTGCCCATGTGGGATACTGGCACTACAGGAGGAGGCTTTACCCACTACATCGCAGGGCCAGCCCCACTTCTAACTTTCTAGTGACCTTGATCAATGTTCTCTCTGTGTAATTTCTAGGCATTTACATTTCCAGTTGTATGAATCTGTCTTGAAGTTTTGTTTATGGATTTTACTTTTTGAAGTAATCAAATAAAAAAGGAATGTGTTTAACTACAAACAACAGAAGCTGGAAAAGAGCAACTTAAATAATAAGTTTGCCTTATGCCACAAGATATCTAGGCTGTTATGGAATCTCAGCATACTGTTTCTGTTTTTTACCTCCAACATCCTCATCATGAGGCTTTTATCTTCATGCCTTTCACCTCTTGGTTGCAACAAAGCTGCTGCATCTCCAGGTATTATATCTTTATTCCAGGAAAGAAGAATAAGAAAAAGGGAGGTGAGAAGAAGCTAGACCTAGTAGGAAAGCAAAAAGTTTCATAGAAAACCTCCACTTATTTCTCATGGAAAATTTATAGAGTCATGTGGTCCCTCTAACTGCAACAATCTGGTAAAGCAAATATTGTTTGGACACATTACATACAATCAAGCTGTTTTAAGAAGAAAACTGTGATAGGAAATGCGGCATGAGCAGATACAAGGATGGCCTCAGTCTCATATGGTATTATGGCCATGTTAATTGTTAAACACTGAGGTTATGTAATAACTGTACCAAGAAATCCTAGTTTTAGACAGCAAAAAGTAATGTGGATATGTGCTAAGTCCAGATTAACTACAGAGAAAAAGTAAACTAAAGCACTCCCAAAATTTCTTCTCACTTTAGAAAAGTCCATCTCCCTTTAGCCACAATTGCAAAATGCAAAAACAAGACAAATAAAACTAGGAAAACAGAAAACTTTTTGTAACCAACTTTTTGACAAAACTTTGACCTGACCCAAGGAGAGGCCATTTGAAGTAGTTAGTTATCTGATTTAGTATGAATGCTAACACTGCAGAAATATTAATGTTTCAGTAAAGGGTGCTGCCCATATCTTTCTTGGAATATTACATCATAAATATTACCTTCTAAATTTGAAAAGTTCTAACTTTTCAAGCATCTCTTAAGTCCAATTTTTTTTAAGTCCAATGTTTTGAACAGGAGATTATGGAAGCATTCTAACAATAATAATCTCAATGTATATACAAAGTTTAGCATAAAGTTTAGAGTAATCACAAAGATAACTTTAAATTAGGACAGGCAGAAATGAAAACCATGATGAAATTTTGAGAAACTGAAATAAGGTCAGATGTACATGGTGCTTTAACTGGAAAATTTAAACCACCTATGTTAGTCAGTCAATGAGAAGGAAAGAATGAATAGTTTTTTCTAAATTCTAAATATTACATACATGTCACAATAGCTAAGACCTGGAACCAACCCAAATGCCCATCAACAGTAGACTGGATAAAGAAATTATGGGACATGTACTCTACAGAATACTATACAGCAGTCAAAAACAATGAAACCCGGTCATTTGCAGCAAGATGGAGGAATCTGGAACACATCATGCTGAGTGAAATAAGCCAGTCCCAAAGGGACAAATATCATATGTTCTCCCTGATTGGTGACAACTAACTGAGCACCAAAGGGGAAACCTGTTGAAGTGAAATGGACACTATGAGAAACAGTGACTTGATCAGCTCTTGTCCTGACTGTTGATGTACAAGGTAATACTTTATCCATTTTAGTATTTTTTTTGTTCTACTACTATTGATTGAACTCTGTAATTAACACACAATTATTCTTAGGTGTTTAAATTTTAACTGAAAAGTGATCCCTGTTAAATAAAAGAGTGGGAATAAGAGAGGGAGGAGATGTACAATTTGGGACATGCTCAATCGGACTTGCCCCAAATGGTGGAGTTAGAATCGTGCCAGGGGATTCCAATACAATCCCATCAAGGTGGCATGTACCAATGCCATCTCACTAGTCAAAGTGATCAATTTCAGTTCACAATTGATCACACTGATAGGTCTAAGAGTCAAAGGGATCACATAAACAAGACTAGTGTCTGCTAATACTAGCTGATAGAATCAAAAAGGGAGAGAACGATCCATCATGGAAAGCGGGATTCACAGCAGACTCATAGAATGGCAGATGTCCTAAACAGCACTCTGGCCTCAGAATCAGCCCTTTCGGATGTGGCTGAAGAGCCCACGAGAGTATTTTAGGCATGGAAAGCCAAGACACTCTGGCAAAAAAAAAAAAAAAAAAAAAGAAGACCTAAATGAAAGATCTCTGTGAGTGAGATCCCAGTGGAAAGAACGGGATCATCAAAGAAGGAGGTACCGTTCTCTGAAGGGAGGAGAGAACTTTCACTTTGACTATGACCCTGTCAGAATAAGATCGAAGTTGGCAAACCCAAAAGGCTTCCATAGCCTTGGCAACTCTTGACGAGAGCCTAGGGAGATTACTGACGCCATAAACAAGAATGTCAAATTGTTAAGTCAACAACAGGAGTCACTGTGTACTTACTTCTCATGTGGGATCTGTCCTTAATGTGTTGTCCAATGTGAAGTAATGCTATAACTAGTACTGAAACAGTATTTTACACTTTGTGTTTCTGTGTGGGTGCAAACTGATGAAATCTTTACTTAATATATACTGAATTGATCTTCTGTATATAAAGATAATTGAAAATGAATCTTGATGTGAATGGAATGGGAGAGGGAGCGGGAGATGGGAGGGGTGCAAGTGGGAGGGAAATTATGAGGCGGGGGAGCCAATGTAATCCATAAACTGTACTTTGGAAATTTATATTTACTAAATAAAAAAATATATTACATACATGTGAATGCTGAGCTAGCCTCAAGGCCTAGTCCCAGAAATACCACTGACCTGTATGACTTAATAGGATCACTGTGGAATGTCCCATTGGAAAAGGTAAAGTAATTGCTCAACAAGTCTTTGCTCTTTTGTTATTCTGAAATGATCCTCTATCTGAAAATACTTAAGCAGGTATATCTCAGCATTGTAAGGGAAATGATCCCTAATAGTTCCTATGAATATTTAGTGTACTCAGCAAACTTCTACTAAGGCACATTTACATGGTCAGTAGTGACCAAAATATTCCATGTATTGATTGTCCTGTTCAGTGTTCATTTTACTATACGTAAGCACTGTATTATACAAGTATTAGGTAATATAGTATCATAAAGTACTGATTACAATCATCTAATCTTATTCTAGCTCTTCGAGGACTGCTATGGCGGAGCTCAGCAGGTAATCAGACAATAACTACAAGGCACTGCTTCTCAAACTTTATTGGGCACACACTTCATGGGGTGAGAATGGAAGTTGTGAAAATACACATTCTGATTTAGCAGGCCTGGAGCTGGGGCAGGATTCTGCATTTCTCCCAAGATTTCAGGTGCTACAGATGCAGATTGCTGGACTACACTTTTGAGTAGCAAAGTCCTACAGCTTCTTCCAAAAATGAAATTTTCATAATCCTCTGTGAACAAGGTATCTGTGAAATGAACATGATAGCTTACTACTCTTAGTCACTTAGCAGGAAACATGAATCTCAGGATATACAAAGTTTGAATCCACTAAGTCAGAGGAATTCCATGTGATTTAGAAATTCAGTCAGCTTGCCAAGAGCAAAATGAAGAACATAATTCAGATGCGGATGGAAACTTCTGAAGTCCAGAAGCCTTTGCTCTGACATGCACTCTGAATAGGGCTGTCCCCATGCCAAGATTGTACTAAAAGGTGAGCACGCCCAACCTGGAGAAAACATGTGTCTCCAAGAAACCCTTGAACTCTTCCTCAAGAGGAGCCAGGCAACTCTGGAAGACCCAGTTAATAACTTGGGCATATTACTTGAAAAGAATATTTAGGCCCCATAAACACATTAGACATTAACTGGAAAATAAACCATAAAAGTAGTAAAACAAAGTGAAGAACTCCATAACCATCAGGGACAAAAAGGAATTCAGAAAGTGAACAATTTACACAAAGGTTATTACACTAGCTAAGAGTCTCCTTGTTTCTAGAATCTTTTTATCCCTGATTTGTGTTTTCTCCATAGTCCAGGCAATCTTCTCCAAACAGAACTTTTTACAACCCTGTTGTAAAATCATCTAAAACTCACTGTAAAAATACAAATACTGACTCTTTTTAGTGCACCAACCTGTGAGTATTTACAAAGGCTTACCCATATATTTACTAGAACCACAACCAGGATAATGGGCAGTTCCATGATCTCCAAAATTCTCCCCTGTCCCCTTGTAGCCATGGCTATCTTTCTCCCCTCCCCCTAACCTGACACTGTTCCTGTTTTGAATGGAATCTCTGGTGTGTCTTTTCAGTCCACCGTCCACCACCCCTCCCTCATGCAATGCTTCTGAGATGCATCAGTTTTGTAGTGTTGTGGCTTCATCAGGAGTTTGTTCCTTATCAAAACTGCACCCCCACATCTGTGTTTTCATGGATTTTGTAATTTATCAGAATATTAATAAATATACTTTAAAAAGCTATGTGAAAATTCACTATATTATTTTAAGTGTAAAGACTTTATTTATAGCAAAACACTTTATTATAATTTTACTTTCCTGGTTTTAATGGAAGCAAATTCATCTATGTTTTCAAAATCTAGGGCCGGCGCCGCGGCTCACTAGGCTAATCCTCCGCCTAGCGGCGCCGGCACACCGGGTTCTAGTCCCGGTCGGGGCGCCAGAATCTGTCCCGGTTGCCCCTCTTCCAGGCCAACCCTCTGCTGTGGCCAGGGAGTGCAGTGGAGGATGGCCCAGGTGCTTGGGCCCTGCACCCCATGGGAGACCAGGAAAAGCACCTGGCTCCTGGCTCCTGCCATCGGATCAGCGCGGTGCGCCGGCCGCAGCGCGCCAGCCGCGGTGGCCATTGGAGGGTGAACCAATGGCAAAAGGAAGACCTTTCTCTCTGTCTCTCTCTCTCTCACTGTCCACTCTGCCTGTCAAAAAAAAAAAAAAAAAATCTACTCCTTGGTTTATCTCATTTTCTTTTGTGTGATACCACCATGATTGCCATTTCCAAAAAAATTCTCAAAACCACTTCCAAATTTGGAAAAGATTGTGCTAACCAAAATACATGAATCCATTCTTAAAAATCCAACCACAATACTAATTTTTATATTATAAATTACTTATAATGCATATTGCTTGAAGTATTTTAGGTGAAATTTCTATAGGATTTAAATTGTCTGAATATTTAAGAGCCAGGTCACTGACTGCTTTTTATAAATTAAATGTAATCATAGATAAGTACTCTTTTTCTGATTAAAAATTCACCTCTGAAGGTGTACTCTTATCAGTCCATTTGTGCATTACTTAACAAAATGCCTGAGGCTGAGTAACTTATAGAGAGGATTGTTTAACTCAGTTTTGGAGGTTGATAGTCCAAACAGCATAGCTCCAGCTCTGGCCAGGGCTCCCTCGTCGCATCACAGCATGGAGGTGGACTTCATGGCAGGATGTGTGCGAGAGCACACACTGTGAGACAGGCTGGAAGAGAGTGATTCAGAGCTTAGACCTGTCTTTTAAAACAACCCTCTTAGGAGAACTAATGAAGAATGAACCCAGAAGAGCTATGTTAATTCCTTCTGAAGGTATCACCCTCATTGGCCTAATTATATCCATTATGCCCCATCTCAAAGGTTTCACTTCCCCTTACATCTTATTCCTTTTTCACATATTTATAAACTCTAGAAATATATTCATATCTCTCAATAAAGTTTGATATTCAAATATTCCTTCAAAGTAATTAATTTTTATCCTTTGTTATAAGCAGAGTAATAAGCCTTCTAAGAAGCATACAACTTCATATATATTAGTGGTTTTTAGATATAGAAATTAATGCTTTCCACTGTTTTAAAGTATTGTCCCATAAAGTTTCATAGAAGTATATAATATATTGCACCAAGATTTTCTCAATTGTAGCATAACATTTTTATTTTTTAAAGATTTACTTATTTGAAAAGCAGAATGACAGAGGGAGAGATGGTGGGGGGTGATCTTCCATTCTTCCATCCACTGGTTCACTCCCAAAATGGCCACAACAGCCAGATCTAGGCTAGGCCAAAACCAGGAGCCAAGAACTCCAGCCCTGTCTTCCACATGGGTGGCAGGTCCCTAAATGCTTGGGCCATCTTCTTTCCCAAGCACATTAGCAGGAAACTGAATTAGAAGCAGAGCAGCCCGGACTCAAACCAGTGCTGTGATATGGGATGCTGGCATTGCAAGGTGAGGCTTAACCTGCTGTGCCACCACACTGGCTCCAATATATCTTTTGATATTTGAGAAATATCTTATTTTATGTATTATTGCATTTGGTCCAGATGTTTATTTTTAATTTGTCATGATTTTAAAAAGCATTGCTGTAATATTAGTTGTCTTACTTGGTGATTTGGCACCCCTAAAATTTGTACCTGATTAGAATATCTTACTTGCCTCACCTTCATCCTGGGCCTGTGATATAATGTGGATGTACCACTGTTGTTTTATCCAAATGAAGGTGAGTTTGGGGTTGTTTCAAGTTTGGGGCACTTATGAATACAGTTGCTATAAACACATTTGTGTAGAATATTTTTAAAGATTTATTTATTTGCACAAAAATGAGGGAGATCTTCCCCTGTTCTTACTCCTTGCACTTTTTGCAATCAGGGCTTCCAAGAAGAGCAGTATTTCTTTAAAAGAGATGACGCTGACCAAAAAGGTTTTGTCTAGGATCTAAAGAATTGGTGTGCATGAGCAAAGTGTTTCTAAATAACTTCTGCCAGGAAAGTGAAACTTCTTTTGTCCTAGGGTAGTCACATGAGTGGCTTTTTAGTTAAGCTCAGGATAAAAAGAAAGCTTTTGTCCGGGGATTAGGATGGAACCCAAACTTCTGTGTCTCAGTCAAGGCTACCACTCCCCGAAATTCTTGTTTTATAAAACTGAATACCAGGGAAACAATGGATCAATTTGCATGAGTCCAGGATCCTCTGAGAGGCAAGAAACTGAGTTTTAATGAACCCCAGCTCCCTGATATGTGGACATAGGGAATTATCAAGGCAGACTAGGATGGCTCTGAAATTATATTGACTCTAGGTATAAAGTGGTGAGCTGGATCTACACCAGAAGCCCTAGAGCGGATGGGAAAGGGCTGCATTCAACACGTACCCAGCTGTTACTGGAAGCACCGCAGGCCTATTCACCAGGACACTGGGCTCGTGATCCAAGCAATAGAGGCAGAGGACATGGCTGTGAAAGGCAGGGAAGCCCCACCATGGAGGACCTTTATCAAGGCCCAGAACTGACACAGAGGATTCTCCTCCCACCTCAATGAACTGAGCAGTACCAGAAGTTGGACCCATCAACATCATCTGTGAGTTGCAGAGGCCTCACTCCTGTAACAGCACCCACACAGTGGGGTTGGGGCAGGGGGAATGGCACCAGCTGATCTGTCACCTGTGCAAGTCAGACTTCAGAAGTCCCATGGTTTCGGAGTTTTTATTTAAACAAGTCATAGAAAGAACTAGAAAAGAGATCTTCCTGCTACTCTGGCAATTGAGATTCTCAAAAGTTTCCATAAACTCAATATAAAAATATAAATGAATACTCCCTAAACCTAACTTTATGGAGTGGGTAATTCCAGTTATATAGAGAGCATATCCCTTATCCAAGATAATCTTTGAAGCAATATCTGAGATATAATTTAATGGATAAAGGCATAGATTTGAAGCCAGACAGTCTGAAACCAAGTTTGAGTGGCAATCCCAGAAAACACCAGAAATGAATAAAGAAAGAAAATGAGAAAGGGAAGGGAGCTGAGGAAGGGTGTGCGATCAAGTCAGCTTCTCTGGGGAGCAGCTAGAGGGTAATCCTGCTAAGGAACTGTCAGAGTAACCTTGGGAGTGTCCCAGACAAGGGCGAGGAAGCTGAGCTGTTGGATCCCCCAGCACTCTGTCCTCTACTGCTTCCGGGTTGCTCCAGGAGCATTCCCTGTCTGTTACTATAGCTTTCCACACATGCTCCTGAGCACGTTCTCAGGACCAGAACAAAGCCCTCAAGCAGAGAATCCCAGGTATGCGCTGCAAGCAGGTGGGAGCCTATGCAGAGGCTGCCAAGAGGACATAACTGTGGGCCACTAATCTCATCAGCCACTCCCTGAGGAATCTAGAAACACACTCAGAAGTACTGCCGCATTCTACCTTCATCACAAGCCTGAATATGGGTTTTTTAAAAAGATTTATTTTTATTTATTTGAAAGACAGAGTTACAGAGAGAGGTAGAGACAGAGGGAGAGGTCTTCCATCTGCTGATTCACTCCCCAGATGGCCGCAATGGCTGGAGCTATGCCGATCCAAAGCCAGGAGCTTCTTCCGGGTCTCCCATGCAGGTGCAGGGACCCAAAGACTTGGGCCATCTTCCACTGCTTTCCCAGGCCATGACAGAGAGCTGGATCAGAAGAGGAGCATCCGGGACTAGAACCGGCACCCATATGGGATGCCGGTACTTCAGGCCAGGGCGTTAACCCACTGTGCCACAGCACAGACCCCGAAAGATGGATTATTATCATCCCCATTTCACAAGCAACAAAACTGAAGATGTAAGACACTAAATGACTTGCCCACAATTAATTGGCACAGAAAGAACTTGAACTCATATTTTCTGCTTTAAACATCACCTTCCCTCCCCTCAACTATAACAAGTCATTTTATAAATTGAGCCTAAAAGGATAGAAAAATATTTGCCAACGATAATCGCTGTGCCACCTGTAGGTCTGGGGGTATGAGAACCGTAGAAGAAATCATGCTTAGACAGCCAGCAAAAACATGGAGCAGTTTGGTTCCCATTAGAAAAAGAAGAGTGGGAAGAATCACTATCTTCCTAAATTTGTACATATGAAATACATGAAGTTTGTATTCCTTAAATAAATTTTTAAAAAGAAGCAGCAGCTATTTACGGTCCAGGCTAGTATTGTAAGTAAGTTAAATGATTCCAGAGGTAAGAAGGTATTAGAAGTCATGGAAGGGAAGGCTGGCAAGATAGAAGGAGACAAAAGGGGCACACACAAAGCCTTGTGCAATGCTTTGATTTATGGCTTTGTTACTCTCCCCCTATCTTCATTCCAGCCATTCTGGCCTCCTTGACTACTCCAGCTACCCTGACTATGGCCTTTGCACTAGAACGGTCTTTCTTCAGATGTCCACCTGGCTGAATCCTTTACATTCTTCAATGCTTTGCTTAAATCTTTCCTTCCCAAGAAACCTAATTTCCACAACCACTTGATTTGTATCATATCTTGACCACGTGCCTAATCTCACACTCCTGATCCTTTGCTCTTTATTTTTCTTAACTCTTATCACCTCTGACTTCCTATATAGTCACTTCCTGTGCATGTTATATGCCTCCCTTTGTTCAAATGTAAGCTCCAAGCACTGGTGTTGTGGCATAGGAGGTAAAGCCACCACCTGG